TTTTTTTTTTTTTTTTACATCTCTCATTTATTTCTTTTTCTTCTTTTATTTGTTTTTTCTCTTATCTTGTTTTTATTTATCAATACTTTTTGTTACACTTTTACCTATTAATATTGATGTATGATTTATTAATATTTATTTTTAATTATTAAATATTTAAAATTTATAAAATATCATATATTGCTAAAATTATTAAATTATTAAAATTTAACAAATACTTAATTTCAATTAAATTTAATATTATGATATCAAAATTTTAAATATATATTAAAAATATATTTTGATTATTTTATTTATTAATAAATATTATAAATTTGAATATATTGTTAAAATTTAATAGTATGAATGAAAAAATATAAATATATAATATAACAATTCGAAAGGTCATTACATTTGTTGCTGATTAAATACTATATAGTAGAAGATTAAACAACGTTGAAATTTATAATATAACAAGTATTAGTATAAACTACATACATATTAAATATAAAATATCGTACTAAGTATAAAATAGATCTAAGTGTCAATCGACGTCTATACAAGACATGATTACATTTGAGTGACCATTAATAAGACTAGTTATTTCTAACATTACTTTTTTTCAATTGCATAAGTTATCCCGCTAATTTTATCATGTGTTTTATATTAAATATGATTATTATATTAAATATGATTATTACGGTTTTAACCATAAAAAAACACAAGATAAATTTATAAGAAGAATTCAACGTAAGTATCTCATAAACAACATGTCAAATATAACAACTTACAACAAGATAACATCATCGGTATTACAACTTAACATCTTACAACATGTTTAACATATTAACATATACATCACATTAAATGCGTCATCACACATATTAACTATATATATATAGGTATCCTACAATATATATATGATAAATAGTTTAAGTAGTTAGACCCTACTAAATTATAACATGTGGTATAAAATATAATTTCATCATTAAAAATAATATGCAACCAAGAAAATCACCAAGTTTTTACCCAAAAACACTTATAAGGAACCAAGTCTTAATGAATAAATTCGTTAGAGGAAAAGAAGTGACTTTGCACATAGCTTGAAGTTCCAATCTCATAACTCGAGTTCTTCACCATCTATACTAGAATCAATTGAGAAAATGGTAGAAGAAATAAGGAATAAAGAAGGAAGAATCTCTTTATAACTTTAGAAAACTTGAATTATGAATTTCTTTTCCAAAACTTTCCTTTTATACTTTCTTAGGCTAACTCTTTTGTCTATTGTCTAGCCTTTTTGAGATAAAATTCTCTTAAGATTTCCCAATCTTAAAGCTCTTAATAGCAACTACCAATGTTACACTTAAAAAATTATATGTAAAAAAAAATGCTACTTAAAAATATATGAAATTACAATTAATTATTTATTAAAATATTGAAAATTTTATTAATTTTATTTTTTTATTCAAACTTTGTCATTTATGTAATTTTTATTATTAATTATATTATTTTCAAAAATCATAGTATTCTTTGAAATCTAATAAAGTTCTTTCAAAATTTATAAATCTTGATTTAAAAAGTCTTTTAAAAAATCTTAAAAGTTATTATATTCTTTCAATTTTCTTTTTAAAAATAAAAGTCATTAAATTTTTATAAAACATTTTAAAATTCAAAAGATTTTTTTGTACTATTTTTTTTTAATGAAATCCCAATCCAGCACACTTCATTCAAATTTAAGATTGTTTAGTTTTAATAATTTCATGATTGTTTGATGTAATGCAAATAAGGTTATTTTATTTACCGTTAATACTGGTTATTTATTAGCGAATCATGTGAGAAAATATTCTTAAGCATAAGTTGTAGTTAAAATATAATTAGAATTTTGTTAGAAGGAAATGAAATTTAGATTTTTTTTAGGGATTAATTATGGATCTCTTTTTTTAAACTTAAGAAATAAGCGTTCTAAGTAAATGTTAAAAAAAGCACAATTCTTTAAGATGTAGTTGAAAAAAAGTGATTTTTTTTAGTTTTTAAAATTTAAAAGTGATATTGTAGTCTCTTAATTTAAAAATAACTTATTTCGGCGTGATGGTGACTTTGTTAACATTTTTTTTTTCAAACTTATAAACTTTTAATTGTTTGACTGATGAAATTTTCTTTTTCCTTATTTAACAAACAGAAAAATGTTTTGATGATAATAAAATATAAGTTTTAATATTAAAAAATAAATTATAAGTTCTAAGTTCGAAAAAATCTTATGAATATTTCACTTGATGGAATATTATCTTGTGATTTATGAATATTTTATTATTTTTATATTTTTATTATTAACATTAATTCAAAATATTAATTTATATTAAAGAAAAAAGATAAAAGAAAATTTCATCAGTAATTTTTTTTAATAAAAATGGAAAAATTGATTTGATATAAAGTTTAGAATAACAAAAAAAAAAAACACGAATTTGCATTTATGTGAGTGCAAATATTCATAAATTATCCCATTCTTAAGATTAAATTTTAAATTTTAATAGACATATGGTATATAATAAACACTTTTGCTATAATTGATTTCGATATATTAATTAAATATTAATTGAAAGGGCAAATCGATTAGTGATGGCGACTTTAGGAGTGTATTAATTAACATATATCATAATAAGTAATTTAAGACATGTTTAAATAAATGGCTTAAAATTTTTGTTTAATCAAACTATTGTACGAAAAATTATATCACATAATTTTAATTCAAAGTTTTCATAAGTCTTACCACATTAAATGTGTCACTGTGGAAGTGCATTGAATAAAAAAAATAAGAAAGAATAATGATTACTAGCTAAAAATATATTTTTATTTAATTTATATTAACTTTAAGTTATATCGATACAGTATATTTAACATTAACATTTAAATACATGATGATGTTTATAAATATATATTTTTGAAGGGTTAAATTATATTATTTTGATATATTGTTATAGATAAATTAATGGTGCATAGCACGTGGGAAGTGAAAGGACAGTGGAAAAGTCACGCGAGAAGTGAATTCGTATGACATTGGAATAGGAATAGGAACAGGAATGAATACGTGTGTAGAGTATACGGTAATTTACCCTTGGCTCTCTACTTTCTCAATCTTTCACTCTCTTTCTCTTCTCTCTGCCCCTAACATCTATTTTTCTCTTCTTTCTCCACACCCAACCCTAACCCTAAACACCCAAATTCACAATCCCTTCCACCTTCACCTTCCACATCCCAACGCCCTCGCTTAAAACCCTTACTCAGACACTCCAAAGATCCAACCCCAAAAAACCCTACCCAGCCATGGACTCGCAACAGACCAATCTATTCGACACCGCTTCGCAACCCGACACAGGCAACGACGCCTACACCTTCCTCGAATTCAACACGCAGGGAGAGGATTTCGACTACCCGGAGTACCGCGACCCGATTAGGTCGCCGGTGGCCTGGCCCACGCCGTCCGATTCGCTGGCGGACCCGCCGGAGCGCGGCGGGGGGCCCGGCTCCGATCACCAGTCCGACGCCTCGCCCGTCTCGGCGGCGCCCGGCAGCGCCACCAAGGGGGGGCGGTCCGGGAGCAGCGGCGCGAACAGCCAGATGGTGGATGCACTCGCGGCTGGGATGAGCGGGTTGAATTTTGAGGACACTGGGGATGATGATAACTACGAGTATGGTAAAGGGGATTTCACCGAACACGCGTGCCGCTATTGCGGGGTTTCGAATCCCGCGTGCGTTGTGAGGTGCAATGTGCCTTCGTGTCGTAAGTGGTTCTGTAATTCTCGGGGGAACACTTCGGGATCGCATATCGTGAATCACCTGGTTAGTATTCGTCACTGCATTTGCCGTTTCGTTTTTGTTCTTTCGTTTTTCGGGATTTTCTTGTTGTTCCTTGTGTTTGGGTTAGTGGTGGGCTTGGTGAAATTGAGGAGTAAGGGTGTGTTGAAGTGAAATTGGATGAGGTGTTGTTCTTTTTATGAATCACCTGGCTTAAGGGCATATTTGAAATTTTGAGAATTTATAAGTCATAGATATGTGGTTCTTTTTATGGTTGCATTCAAATTACGGGAAGGGTTGTAGTTGTGGATATTCATGCACTATTCCAAATTAGATTTCTTAGAAGGAATCCTTGATGTTTGGTGACCATATTAGAACTGTGGAACGGTTGGCGTGCATGTTTGTGGAAGTAGGGCTCAATCTTTTGTTTTATTTCATATCTTAATCAAGGCTGATGAAAAAAATGAAGTTGCTGAAAATGGAGAAATTCGGCCTGTGTGGCGTTGGTAACGTACCATGTATGAGGC